AATTGAAGCTAGAAGCTGATTGGCTACAATGCACTTCTACACCAAATTTTGCGCTCTCTCATCTTAGTAAATCAACCTAAATGTTCTTTCACAAGGAACATACATTCCACATTAATAATTATGCTACCAAAATCAATGTGTGCACTGTAAATTGCCCCCAGCATTGTTCCTGTCTCTTCTTCCAGAGGCTGCCATTTTGCTGGAGCCCAGAACTCCTGAGCAGCAGTACATTTCTAGACTGTCAACAGATCAGCCTCTACAAATTAAGCAACGTGCTTAAAAATAGAGAGCAACTGAGCATTTGCAGAGCAGGGTGACAGTGTATTACTGGATTTTAAACAGTATAGGCACTTATTTTTAATGTTCACAATAGCTGTGCTGTCCTACTGACGGTTAGCCAACAGCTAGCTAACAAACATGACAGAGGCAGCACGTTGTTCAATTCCAAAACTGAATATACTTCTGTGAATAGTTCTGTAAAACTGCAATACAATTACCGTATTTTTCGCTCCATAAAACGCACCTGACCATAAGACGCACCTAGGTTTTAGAGGTGAAAAACAAGAAAAAAAAATATTCTGAACCAATGGACTGCAGACACAGTACAGGGGATGACCAGAGACTGCGGACACAGTACAGGAGATGACCAGAGACTGCGGACACAGTACAGGAGATGATCAGAGACTGCAGACACAGTACAGGAGATGACCAGAGACTGCGGACACAGTACAGGAGATGACCAGAGACTGCGGACATACTACAGGAGAAGACCAGAGACTGCGGACATAGTACAGGAGATGACCAGAGACTGCGGACACAGTACAGGAGATGACCAGAGACTGCGGACATAGTACAGGAGACGACCAGAGACTGCGGACACAGTACAGGAGATGACCAGAGACTGCGGACATAGTACAGGAGACGACCAGAGACTGCGGACATAGTACAGGAGATGACCAGAGACTGCGGACATAGTACAGGAGATGACCAGAGACTGCGGACATAGTACAGGAGATGACCAGAGACTGCGGACATAGTACAGGAGATGACCAGAGACTGCGGACATAGTACAGGAGATGACCAGAGACTGCGGACATAGTACAGGAGATGACCAGAGACTGCGGACAAAGTACAGGGGATGACCAAGAGACTGCGGACATAGTACAGGAGATGACCAGAGACTGCAGAAACAGTACAGGAGATGACCAGAGACTGCGGACACAGTACAGGAGATGACCAGAGACTGCGGACATAGTGCAGGAGATGACCAGAGACTGCAGACACAGTGCAGGAGATGACCAGAGACTGCAGACACAGTGCAGGGAATGACCAGAGACTGCAGACAGTGCAGGGGATGACCAGAGACTGCAGACAGTGCAGGGAATGACCAGAGACTGCAGACAGTGCAGGGAATGACCAGAGACTGCAGACAGTACAGGGGATGACCAGAGACTGCAGACAGTGCAGGGAATGACCAGAGACTGCAGACAGTGCAGGGAATGACCAGAGACTGCAGACAGTGAAGGGGATGACCAGAGACTGCTGACCTTTGGGGAGGGAGGGGGAGCGGGTACCTGAATTTGACAGGTACCCGCTCCCACTTCCGCGGAGTTGCCTTCCCTCTTCTTCCCGGGCCGGCTTCTGTGACAGCCGGGTGCCCACTGCGCAGGTGCGAGAAGCGCTGCGCTTTGTGAATGGCTCGGCGCCTTCTGGGACCTTTCATGTGTCCCAGAAGACACCGGATCATTCACAAAGCGCAGCACATGCGCAGTGGGCACCCGGCTGTCACAGAAGCCAGCGCGGGAAGACTGTGCAGCGCTGGAGTGAGGAACAGGTAAGGCCCTGCAGGAGAGAACAGCTGAGCGGCCGGCCCGGTATTCTGACATGGTGGCCGCAAAAATACCGGACAGGCCGCTTTATATTCGCTCCATAAGACGCACTGACATTTTCCCCCCTTTTTGGGGGGGAAAAAAGTGCGTCTTATGGTGCGAAAAATACGGTATATAAACTGAAATTACAAGATGCTTGTATGCATGTCTCTCACAAATGCTTACGATGAATACATTTCTTACAAACGGACACCTACAAATCACATTGAATACCTTGAAATGTGATCTAGCTGTGTATGTGACTTTAACAAAAGAATGGGTGAACTTACAGGCATGTTTGTATCAAAGGGAGAATGAAGGAGACTTTTACTGGTGTTCCTCCAGAAGCTGAAACAAACATGAAACACTTCCTATTCTTGTTGGAAGGAATGATAAAAACAGGTGCAGCCAATGGATGGCTCCCTACTCAACACAATAATGATATACAGAACAATAGCTATACCTGCAAAGCCTGAAGCGATCTAGCGGGAGTTAATTTTCTGGCTAAAGTTCCACTTTAACACTGCCTCATACCGGAGGAAGGGGGCCATACCTCTGTTTCAGGTTTCACAGGAATATCACAAACATGGGATGAGATAACAGACTGAAAATTTCCACACCTAAATACATTTTGTAAATGGCACAGTAATATCTTGTATTATTAACCCCAGGTGGACTAGCAGATGTTTTTATTTGTTTTTTGCTTTAGACTTGCTTTAGGGAACCCTCCCCGCATTAAACTGTTTGTTTTCTGCCTTGATAACTAAATAAAATGGCAGGACAAATTTCCTTGGACTGTTTCTGGTTGGCCCTCGTTCATGCTCGGTGTACTAGTGTTTCTAGCAATTGAGCCTATCCCTCTTAGGACACATACTGAATATGGAGTTCTGACTTTCAACTGACTTCACTTGCCTATTTGTTCCAAGTCAATGACTTGAAATTATTGAGGCAGGAGACAACCAGGCAGCTAACATATCCCAGTAAAAGGTGTTGTGTGAAACTGGGGTCATCAGGGGCAATTATTTTGCTGCTGCTGCTGTTAGTATTATTTATAGAGGAGACAGCTGCCTTCATTCAAATTCTAGCCAGAGTATGTAGATGTAGTGCTCCCCCCTAAAGATTCACTGGTGAACAGGTTTCCTTTTCTCCGAGTTAAAGCACACACAGCCAGACACACAATATTTTCTTCACTCTTCCACTGGCTCGAAGGAATAGTCTAGGGATGTCTTTTTAGGAATTTTATTGGAACAATGAACTTGGATGGGGTGAGGGAACATAGGATCCCCCAAAACTGGTGAATTGAACACTTTGAGGAATCCTTATCTATCTTGCTGAACTGTATAAAGAAATGTCCCACAAAATCTCAATTGTTGACGGTGACTATGACTTCTTCCAGAGACCAAAAGCTACAGACGGCCACTGACTCTCTAACATTGGGGTCATCTACTCACACAGCCACAAGATCATTAGTTGCCCCCTACTAATATCCACCAGGCTCTTCACAGTGAGGGAGCAGACTCACACCACCAAAGGACAGCTGGACTTTTATACCCAACTTCCTCCTGGCTCTTCAGTGAACTTTCCAGACCCAACTTGATTCCAGGACTTGGTTTGCTAATAGACCCCCCAGCTACAGCTTAGTTGGGACCTTGATATCTTCTTAGTGGCACCTCTAGAACTCCTGCCCCAGGGGCAGAGCCCTTGCACAGGGTCTCCTCCAGTAGGACTGGACCAAGGAACTCTTCCTCCCTCCTCAGGCCTCAGACTATTTATTGCCTCCAGGGGCGGACTGACCATTTGGTAACTTGGGCACTGCCTGAAGGCCTGGGGTCAGTAGGGGGCCCCATGAGATGCCCCTGGTACCTTTTTCATAGGCTTTTTTGAGTTTGGGCAAGGACACAGGGGCCCCATTATCCCCTATTGCCTGGGGGGCCCCATGAGTTGTCAGTCAACCCCTGATTAGCTCTGCAACTATCTACTGGGCACACCTCCACAGGGATTGGCTGGAGTCCCATAAATATTCAGGCTTTTTCCCTCCCACTATATCTCCAGAATCCTCTGAAAAACAGGGGGAAGCAATCAGAGCATCAGCCTTTGAGAGACGGAGCAGGCCAGAGCAATCAATCCCTGCTCCACTGACTACAGAGGAGATACCTACATTTGCCTAGCATCCTATGCTACTGTAGGGGTGGGGGAGTGCTAAACTGAACAAGGTCCACTTTCCACCTAGAAAGAGATTTCAATGTTTAGATGGCTTTAGAGAGGCTACAATTTATGTTTATGAGTTAAAGTTTAATATGATGGACAAGCTGATTATGTTTTTTTGAGACAAGGGACACAGTAAAGCTAGATATAGACAGTTTTAAATCTAGCCTGATGTGTCAATTCTCACTATCTGTATATGAATAATCAGTATTGGCTGTCTACCCTAAGATCATTTAAATTCACAAGCAATCTGTATAGCTATTGAGCACAAGGAATGAGTGTTGACTAAATATCAGATGGTGCCACTCCACCTTGATTCAACACCAATATGTTGAGCATCAAGCTTTTGTTTGTCACATGTGGAACAGCGGTGACATTTTGTAACTGCTAAAGGCAGGGGCGGACTGACCATTGGGGAACTCGGGCACTGCCCGAAGGCCCGGGGTCAGTAGGGGGCCCCATGAGATGTCCCTGGTACCTTTCATAGGCTTTTTTGGGTGTGATTTGAGTGTGGGCAAGGACACAGGGGCCACATGATCCCCTATTGCCCGGGGGTCCCATGAGTTGTCAGTCCGCCCCTGGCAAAAGGATTCCTTTATCCCTTCTGTCTGATGAAGAAATAATTTGGAGGCTCTTAAATGTTTCTGCAGTTCACCATTGTAGGGAGAAGGTACTTCCAATGGGAGATTTTCTTCTACATTTATGATTCCTTATAATTACATGGATAGATAGGTGGAAATCCAGGTAAAAAAAAAACCCACAGAGGTCCAAACATTACTCTAACCTATTAAAACAATAACAATGAAAAAACAAACGCTCATTTAAACAAATTGATAGCTCTATAGCAATTTTTAAAAATATAAGGGTATTGTTATAGTAGATTGAATGATTCTTATAACTCATCTTTGATAGATTGTCCATCACAGAATGTCCCTGAACCACACTCCACCAATCACCTTCTATCTCATCGGTTTCTCTGATTTACACTATGCCAGAATTCCACTCTTCCTATGTTTCCTGATCATCTACATGTTGACACTGCTAGGCAATCTGTTGATCATCTTTGTCTCCTGGCTGGATGTCCATCTTCAAAAACCCATGTATTATTTTCTCATGAACCTCTCCATTCTTGAGGTCTTCTACACCACAACGGTAACCCCTAAGCTGTTACAAATCCTCCTGGGCTACTCTCACAATATTTCTCTGGCTGCCTGCTTCACACAAATGTATTTCTTTCTTTCTTGCGGTGGAACGGAGAGTGTTCTTCTGGCACTTATGGCATATGATCGCTATCTAGCCATTTGCAGACCCCTTAACTACTCAAAGCTGATGCACTCAAGAGTATGTCAAAGCTTAACCATGACTACTTGGTGCATCGGATTTGTGGCCTCATTATTACCGACGGTTTCCATTTCTACTCTTCCGTTTTGTTCTGCTCTAGCAATTGACCATTTTTTTTTGTGACCTTTTCCCAGTTTTGAGGCTTTCCTGCATGGACACATGGCTGATTGAAATTTCCATCTTTGTCTTGACCTGCATAATGGCCTTTGGACCTTTTTCTTGGACCCTCATCTCCTACCTGTTCATCATCGTGACGATAATGAAAATGTCTTCTGCCACTAGCCGTGATAAGGCCTTCTCCACTTGTGCCTCCCACCTGTCCGTTGTGTCCATCTATTACGTCACTGCAATTGTCATGTACATGGGGAAAGGCTCACAAAGCCTCAGTAAAGTCCTCAGCATCTTCTACTGTATGGTCACCCCACTTTGTAATCCCTTTATATATAGCCTACGGAATAAAGATGTAAGGAAGGCATTAACTGACATTTGGCATGGATGAAAAAGTTGAAGAACTTTTTGAAGTTGGTTCTTTATATTTAAAACATTTACGGAAGCAGGAGCATGAAGTGCAGTTGAATACTGCCAATAAGGTGTGCACTATAAAGATGGCAGAGGACAGAGGCTGCCATTGCAGTACTGACTACTTCTTCCTGGCTGTCATAGGGATGGAGATGGAGAATACAAGTTTTGATTCAGCTTCGATTTTTTCTGATTTTTTTTTCCCGTTTTTTGCTATGAAGACACTGATTTTTGCTTTGTTAGCAATTTTTTCAAACTCAATTTTATTTATTTTATTTTTAATATTTTGATTCTTTCTATAAGATATTTTGGGTACATCAGATATGGATGATTTCAGGTGGAGATCTTCTAAAAGTATTCCTCAGTGATGATGGAAAATCTGTTTCATATTTTTGTGTTGGGTGTGGAACCAAATGATAGTAATTATTTGGGACAGCACTAGAACTCTTGTTGAGTCCCTTGTTACTTATTGCAACTCAAACAGTCTGGGCCAATTGTGACGGAGGGTAGGCAGGACAGAACACACAGAGCAGATGGCAAATGCACAAAGCTTTATTGAGAGAACAAAATGACAGTCACTCAATGGGAAAATGGCAGGGAGGGTGATCTCGCCAGTAGGGGGACAGCAAGGAGGGGCTAAAACATTTGCAGTCTAGTATCAAGAGCAAAGAAAAAGTCTCTGTAGCAGATTGTAATCTAACAGGGGGGTTAGGGGATCATCACAGGCACAGTTCAGGTAAAACAGGGAAAAGCATATGCCCACGGATCTGACAGGGTGTCCGGTCTCCCAGGGATAAGAAAACAAGATGCAGCTACCTGTTGGAAAGGTCCGGGACAGGCGAGGGGTCTCTTCCTTTGGGGCAGGGGGTCTCAGGCAGGCTGGCTTGTGCGGTCTCCTCTTTTACTGGGATCTCAGGTAGCAGGCAGGCAATCTCCCCCCTTTGCTGGGGCCTCAGGCAGCCTGGCTTGCACGCTCGCCCCCCCTTTGGACTGGGGTCTCAGGTAGCAGGCAATATACCCCTGGGCTGAGGGTTTCCGGCAGGCTGGCAGGCAACCTCCCCATAGGCTTGGGGGGCTCAGGCAGCTGGTTTTAATCTCCCCTCTGCTGGGGTCTCAGGCAGGTAGCAGGTAATCTCCCCCCTTTGCTTGGGGTCTCAGGCAGGTGTGGCTTGTGCGGTCTCCCCCCTTTGGACTGGGGTCTCAGGCAGCAGGCAATCTACCCCTGGGCTGGGAGTCTCCGGCAGGCTGGCAGGCAATCTCCCCCTAGGCTTGGGGGGCTTAGGCAGCTGGCAGGTAATCCCCCCTCCGCTGGGGTCTCAGGCAGCAGGTAATCTACCCCTGGGCTGGGGGTCTCCGGCAGGCTGGCAGGCAATCTCCCCCTAGGCTTGCGGGGCTCAGGCAGCTGGCAGGTAATCCCCCCTCCGCTGGGGTCTCAGGCAGGAAGCAGGTAATCTCCCCCCTTTTCTTGGGGTCTCAGGCAGGTGTGGGTCATCTCCCCCTAGCCTTGGGGGTCTCAGGCAGAGTCTGGTCACGAGGGTCCCGCCGCAGCTGGGGCTCCCTCCGTGACTGCACAGCAGAATGGATGATCGGAGAGCTCGGCATCAACCTCTTAAGCTGATACAGGACACTCTCCGATCGTCCTGGCAACTGGGGCGGGCCGGGGGCGGTGGGCCTCGTCGCTCGGCAACGAGGCACGCCCCCTGGACACGGGCCACGCTTCTCATGAACGCGACCTTTGTCCAGGGACATCTGCAAGCGCGGGAACTTCTTGTGCCCACGCTGCAGATGACAGGGATCGTTCGGCATCAGCTTATCGCCATGATCCCTCTCATCTCTGCAGGAGGCTCACACCTCTCCATAGAGAGGTGTGAACCTCGCTATCCGGTCTCCTCCAGCCTCACTGGATGGGGACAAGATAGTGGCAGAGGTGCGAGGGGCCGCGCCTCTCGTCCTGCGCGGCTCGGCCTCAAAGAGCCACGGCAGGACAGGAGACGGCGGGGGGGGGGGGGGGGGGAAGGTCATCCTGAAGGGGGGAAGCAGGGGAAGCAGCTGTGACACCAATCTTTTACCCATGTATGTGATCCAGCCATTCTAGCCTTTCTAGACTTAGAATTATATCACACGGACACAGCTATCTATGCAAAAGATTACACCAAATTTACTGCTGGTAATTCTTACCACTATTTCCATAGTTGCCACCACCCTAGGTGGATGGGGAACATCCCAAAAAGTCAGTTCTGCATACATTGTCACAACTGCTCTCGGGACGAAGATTATGCCCTTCAGGGTGAACTCCTTAAGCAAAAGTTTAAGGAGAAATGTTATCCTACAGAACTAATTCAGGAGGCCTACATTCTATACCAACATGACCATAAGCCAAGCTGAGATTAAAAATACTATGCAGAAAAATCCCCAATCTTTACCATTGAGGTTCACCACTCAGTACCTGACCTCATCAAGGGCAAACATTCCCATAGATGCAATCACAATCTTGTGGAAAGCCTTCCCAGGGCAGTGGAAGCTGTTATGGCAGAAAAATGGAGGCCAACTCTATATTAACGGCCATGGTTTTTGGAATGGGATGTCCAACAAGCTCATATCGGTGTGATGGTCAGGTGTCCATAAATAATTTTTTTTTTTGCAGGCTCTGCTTGCAAATTTGCAGTGCTACATGTCCATTCTTCCTACACCACTGATGCCAGGGCAGTCTTCCCCTCTATATTACCACTGGCATGAGGCATTGTCTTTCCTCCCGGGAACTACTGATTTTCATTATTTTTTCTTTTTCTGAAACCACCAATGCTGTAACATTTTCCCTCCCAATGATGCCATCAATGCTGTGTTTTCTTTTGTCACATTGCTTACTGCAAAAACGACACCTCTGTTTTAATGAGTCACACCACACTAGTTGTTATTACCTTTTTGTGCCCTATTTCCCACTGAGGGGTCTATTTATTGAACATTCATTGCATGAACATCAGAAGCATTCCTACAAGTTGGTAGAAATGTCCCGTATTTTCTCCAAGAGATTAATACCTGTATCGCCAGCTCCTTCTAGTGGTCAAAATGTGGTATAGTTTTCTCAATGAGATAGTTCAAAAAACTATACCACATTTTGGCCACTAGAAGGAGCTTCTAACACTCATGCAATGAATGTTTTATAAATAGACCTCCTTACTGACTTTTAAAAAGTCTCACATATGATATTATTATTATTATACAGGATTTATATAGCGCCAACAGTTTGCTCAGCGCTGTACATTATAACATTATAATGGGAGACAGTACACGAGACAGTACAGTAACAATACAATGCGATACACAAGGGGTTCAAGGGCCCTGCTCCTTGGAGCTTACAATCTAGGAGAGAGAAGAGAGTGGTACAGGAAGAAATACCTGTGGGGGATGGAGTGGTAGGAAGAGTGGAGGAGTTCAGTAATTAGCTGAGGGCGGGGTGGGCTTCCCTGAAGAGATAGGTTTTCAGGGTACGCCTAAAGGTGAGGAGAGTAGGTGATAGTCTGATGGATTGGGGTAGGGAGTTCCAAAGGATGGGGGAAGCCCTGGAAAAGTCCTGGAGACGGGCATGGGAAGAGGAGACCAGGGAACTGGAGAGTAGGAGGTCTTGTGAGGAGCGGAGAGTGCGTTTTGGGTGGTATTTGGATACCAGATCGGTGATGTAGTTTGGAATATTAAGGCCTGGTTCACACCTATGTGTTTTCTAGTGCATTTTGTAGAAATGCACTACAGTCCAGTTCCACGGTTTCCTATGGGACTCGTTCACATCTATGCATTTCTAAGCCGCTGCATTTTTGGAAAGAACTTTTTAAATCAAACGTATTTGATTCAATAGATTTTAAAGGGCACTCGCCAGAAACCCATGTAGTTACTTTTTTATGTTTTGCATTTTGTTTTTTTCCCAATAGGAAAGTATCCACTTTGATGCTACTTTGGATAGGTGTGACTTTGTGCAACTTTTTTTTTGCTAATAGGAAAGTACAACAGTTTTGTTCATGTGGTGCAAATTTGATGCACCTTTGAAGTGACTTGGCACTCAAGTAGCATCAGAAGCATTAAAGATGCATCCAAGTTGCACCCATCCAAAGTCACATCCAAGTCGCATCAAAGTCATGCCCATCCAAAGTCACATCAAAGTGGCATCAAAGTCATGCCCATCCAAAGTCACATCAAAGTGGCATCAAAGTCATGCCCATCCAAAGTCACATCCAAGTCGCATCAAAGTCATGCCCATCCAAAGTCACATCCACGTCGCATCAAAGTCATGCCCATCCAAAGTCACATCAAAGTGGCATCAAAGTTAATACTTTCCTATTGGCAAAAAAAATGCAAAAGGCAAAAACAGATCAAAAAACATTCCAATAATGCATGTTAAAAAATGCAAAACGCAGTGCAAAGTGCACCGGAAAAATGCATCAATCGCAACACGCAAGGTGAACCTAGCCTCAGTGCAACAAAGAGAAAATACAATACCAGAGTAGTCGTCACTTCAAAACACTCAATTGTCCATGCTGATTTTTTGTCATTCTCTCTGCTTGACTATTAACCACCATAATACCGGCACTTTCTACCCCCCTCGTCCAGGCCAATTTACAGCTTTCAGTGCTATCACACTTTGAATGACAATTACTCGGTCATGCAACACTGTACTCAAATTAAATTTTTATTATTTTAACAACTAGATAGATTTTTATTTTGGTGGTATTTAAACACCACTAGGTTTTTGTATTTTTTGCGATATAAACAAAGAAAAAAAATACAAAATATGAAAAAAGGTAATTTTTTCCTTTGTTACTATTACAAAATTTAACAAATAAATAATCTTTATTCATAAATTTGTAAAATGTATTCTGCTACATTTCTTTGTTAAAAAAAAAAAGCAAAAGACAAATCAGTGTTTATTATTACTAAGTCTGTGTGAAAGTTATAGTCTCTACAAACTATGGTATATATCTGAAAACTGATAATTTCTGATGCCTATGACTGCCTATCTCATTTCTTGAGGCCCTAAAATGCCTGGACAGTACAAATACCCCCCCCCCCCCCCCTTTTTTTTGGAAAATGAAGAAAATAAATAAAATGTGTTTTTTTTTTACAAATGCCCTTTTGACAAGTTATTTCACACACATGGCATAGACATACTTAGAATTACAGTTGCAAGTGGTCCAAAATGACTCCAGATCGTTGTGCAGGTCTGATCTGCAACTACAGGAAACGTTTGGTTGAGGTTATTGCTGCCAAAGGAGGGTCAACCAGTTATTAAGTCCAAAGGTTCACATACTTTTTCCTCCCTGAACTGTTAATGTTTACATGTTATGTGCAATTAAACCATGGCAACATCTAATGTTTGTGTAGTATTATGTTCAGCAGACTGTGTTCTTCTATTGTTGTGACTTAGATGACGTTCAGAGCACATTTTATGCCCAATTCATGCAAAACTCCACGTAATCCCAAAGGGGTTCACATACTTTTTCTTGCAACTGAACACAAAAAAACACATTCTGCTACTCCTCCAAATTATAGGGTTACCAAATGTGTGAGATTTTTTTCACAGCCTAGGTGCATAGAGGGGCCCAAAATCCAAGGAGCACCTTTGGGCTTTTAAGAAGCAAAAATTACACGTCAAATTTCATGACTACCTCTCACATTCCTCGAGGCCCTAGAGCACCAGGATCAGTGACCCCATTTTTGGAAAGCAAACACTCCAAGGTATTTTCTGAAAGGCATAGAGGGTCTTTTGAAAATATCATTTTTTGCCACTAGTTTTTGGAAAATGCAGGAAAGAAAATGAAAATTAATTTTTTTTACAAGAAGTTGCCAGTTAATAAGATATTTCTAAAATTCAAGTATATCCTCCAGGAACAACATAGCATCCACTTGGCTGTCTATGTAAATTGGCTGGACAGGAAGTGGGAAAACTATAAAAATGGTTTACTTGTTGGGGTATTAAAAGTATTGTTTGCACTGTTTAAACATTGGATGTTTTAGTTTGCAGTGAAGTTTATTTTTTAAGGTTGTCAATAAATATGTAATCTGTCAGTAAAAAGGTTGTGAGGAGTTGGCAATCTTGGTAAAATATTATTCAATGTTTGTTCCTGGCATGATAAAAATTATTGTCTGAAATCAGTTGCCAAACTCTTGCTCTGTCCAACCACAGTACGGGCCAGCAGAGGACGAGGACATTCACACCTTGAACCCAGAAGAAAGATTTACAGGTATGTTTCCCCAGCCTGGAGCTGCTATCTGCTCACAGTACAATTATTGTAGGTGGGCAGCAAGTGGTTGAAATAATGCCTTGCAATCCTGCCCTGATTGTCTTTGTTCAGGCTTTCCTGTTATGGGTTGACGTCTCCTAATTGTCCTGTCCCATGCCCTCTTAGTGGAGACCACAAGTGTCTGTGCCAATAAACATTGTTTGGGCACAGCCTACCATTGCCAGAGTCAGTCTGGATCAATAATATGCATACCACACATGTAGACAGGAAGTTGCTGAAAGTGGCTTGAATAGATCAGCCTCAGAGCTAAAGGAAATTAAGAACATAATTAAAAACAGTATGTATCACTAGCCCTCTGATGGGCCCGCTAGTTTGTCCCAGGTTCTCTTCCCACTTTGGTGTAGAAGCAGACAGGTGTACAGCAGCATAGCCAATCTCACAGCTCAATGCTCAAACTTAGGGTGTCGTTAGATGTTTCATTGCCAGTTCAACTTGGTTGGGGTTCAGGGAGCTGTAGGGTACTCCAGAATACTCCAGAACAGTGCTATAATCAGAGGGCAGTCTTTGACTTGTCTACTCTCCTTAAGGTAGCCCCCTCTTAGCAGACTGTAGGGGGATAAGGAACTTTGAGACCCTCAAGGGATCGGTAAGGTCCCAAACCAGCAGCACTGGAGAAAATGGTCAAAGAGAAAGTAGAAATGAACAGTCACTAGGATCCTGCACTCAGGCCTGTACTCACAATGTCCCCAGATACTTGGCCCCATATTGGCCAATCACTTCTCCAGTGAATTCCCAGACCAGATCCTCAGTGAAATCCCTAGATTTGGCTCCAGCTATTTCCAGAGAATATGCCCCTTTGTTGCACTGGGACCTTGATGAATTCCTACAAACCTCACCAATACTGCCCAAAGGGCAACAGCCCTTCAGGCTGGGGAACTTCCCTTCCTGGCTGCTCCAGACCCCATACTATTTATGTACTCCTCAGCCATCTACGAGGCATCCTTATTTCCCAGGGATTGGTTGAGACCAAATAAATATTAAGGTCAATGGTCTGCCTTTTCCAACCTACTACATTCTAGAATCCACCAGAAAGCAGCGGGAAGCAGTTGAGCCTACAGTAAGTGAGAACCAGAACAGCCAAAAATAATCACACTCTGCCCCAATGATTACAGAGGAGCTAAAAAACTAATTTTACCTGAATCTTTCTAGCAACCTATTGTAGGAAGGTGCTACAAGTCATTTCTGGAAAATGGGAATTGTCTATGACAAACTGTGTTAAACTAAATATCATCAAGTTAGGGTTTAGATCTTCTATAAAGTAGTATTTTACCCATATCAATGTTTATGTTTTTGCAGTAATTGCAATATAACCCTCTTCACCTCCTGGTTCCTCAGACTATAGATAAGAGGATTCAGCATTGGGGTCACCACTGCATAGAAGACAGAGGCCACCTTATTTTGTTTCTCAAGATGGCTAGAAGAGGGGTGTAAGTAGGTGACGAAAACAGTGACATAAAATATGGTAGCACACATTAGATGGGAGGAGCATGTACTAAATGCCTTCTGTCGACCCTTGGTGGATTTCATCTGTAGAATGGCTGATATAATAAGAGTATAGGAGACCAGGATGGCCGTCAATGAGCTTACTGTGCAAAAAACATACAAAGAACACAGTCAAAATGTCACAAGAACGAGTATCTGAACAGGACAATTTGAGTATTGGTGGGATGTCACAATAGAAATGGTCCAGCAGGTTTGGACCACAATACTGAAGAGTGAACATGCAACTGGTTGATGATGTTGACTGCACAATGCTAATTAGGAAAGCAATGAGAACCAGCCCCTGACATTTCTTCTTGGTCATTATTGAGACATAGTGGAGCGGATGACAGATAGCCACATATCGGTCATATGCCATGCTCGATAGGATGAAAATCTCTGTACTTGCCAGACCAGCAAAGAAGCAGAACTGAAGGGCACAACCAATGAAGGAGATCTGCTTCTTCTCCGAAAGGAGGTCGGACAACATTTTGGGAGTAACTACCGAAGAGTAGAAGAGGTCCACCAAAGATAAATAGTTCAAGAAGTAGTACATCGGAGAGTAAAGACTGGGAGAGATATGAACAATTACCACCATTCCAACATTTCCGAGGATGGTCACCATGTAGACAAGCAGGAAGAACACAAAGAGGAATGGGACAAGTTTTTCATCATCAGTTAAACCAGAAAACTCAAACATGGCTACTTGCGTCCTGTTTTCTCCCATATCCATTGAGCTTTTTCCCTGTGATGGCTGAAACGTAAATTGGTTTTCTTTAATCTGAGATAAAAAAAGGTAATTTACAGAAAAACGTGTTTAAAGCTGAAGTCTGGCCACTAAAACATTCACCTGCATTATAGATGTATTACTTCCACTATTATATATGACAGCTTCTCACAGTAAATTGTTGTTAAGGATGACAGAGGGTACAGGAACCACTGAGTACTTAAAAGCCAGCAAGGTCATCAGCCCTATTCACTTACATGACCAGAAATACTCAGCCATGTAAGCAAATGGGGTGGGGATAGTACCACTTGCAGGCCAGTCAAGTATCTGGCACATCATTGGTTTTCAGGTGGTTTTACTGAAATAATGCCTGCAGCTGCCTGATGCCATTTCTTAGAGCCGACGCTCAGTTTTCTTGCAATGAGAAACAGAGCAACTAACTATCTGCTCGATCGCTATTACAAGCAGTGGCTTTACCGGGATTTCCTGTCCCACCGGTAGTACCAATCGACCAGCCGTGGCTGCTGACAACTGGTCACGGAGCCGAACAAAGACCGGATTGGCTTTGTTCATCTACATTATATAGTAAACTAGTTTTAAAAAATAAAAGTGTGCAATCGCCCCGATCTTGGTGTGATTGAATGCTTTTAAGGGCAGAGGAGGGATTTGGGATCTTTTTGACCCCAGATTTCTCCATAAAGGCCTCTTTCACACTGACATTTCGATCAGGTCAGCCTGTCAGTTTTTCATGGTGGACCTGATCGGACCACACGTAGAACTCTATGGACCGACGGGTGTCAGTGGACAAGTGTCTGCTGACTCCCGACGGCATACGATCCGATCCTGTATGCCAAAAACATTCCCCATCCATCTGGTGGATTAGGTGACTTTCCATTTCCATCCGACTGCCCACAGAAAAAAGTGGGCTATGTCTGTGTCTGCTCTGCAGCAGATGAGGGGGTTGGGTGCTTTGGGGCAGGGGGGCTCCCCCCCCCCAAACCACCTTGTCCCCATGTTGATGGGGACAAGGGCCTCCTCCCCACAACAGTACAGTGGTTGTGTTGGGCCTGTGGGTCAGAGGCTTATCGAAACAAGGGGGCCCCTAGATCCTGCCCCCCCCCCCCCATGTGAATGAGTAGGGGGTACATAGTACCGCTACTCATTCAAAAAAAAAAAGTTCTGTATAAAAAATGACAGGAGACAGTCTTTGACAAATCCTTTATTAAAAACAAAAATTAAAAAAATATCCCTCGAAGTTGATACAACATCAATCACAATGCCCATCACCACCACCAATCCGAAAAATGTAAAAAAAAAAAACGCTCCACTCTCGACGCGGGCTCCTGCCGTTTGACAGCTGAGCCAGGATGACAGTTCTTAAATACTGTGATGACGTCTCAAGGGGACAGGGGTGACCAAACACATGAACGGCCAATGTTCGAGTCATACTTATGTTCGACTTGAACATCCAGCCCAGGGGTAGGCAACCTGCGGCTCTCTAGCTGTTGTGGAACTGCATTCCCCATGAGGCATTGCAACATTACAAAACTCACAGTTACAGCTATGACTTGCAGAGGCATGATGGAACTTGTAGTCCTGCAACAGCTGGAGAGCCGCAGGTTGCCTACCCCTGATCTAGCCCAACACTAATGGTCAGGATGGCTTCCCACAGAGGAGATGAAGGAACATTCATTCCCCTGATGAATGAACAACGCAAGCGATGAGGATTTTGTCAAAGCTGTCTTTCCCTGGCCAGGACAACCAGGCACACAGCTGAACAAACACAACTTGAGTTTGATCAGTTGCCTTGGAAGGCAGGTGCCATGTATTTGGACTTGAGGCCGAGCTGATGAGAGGGCTTTCCTTGCAGTTGAGTGCACAAGACCCCTGAGGATGGTGACAGGGGATGCTGAGCCCAAAGAAGCATGGGATGCCAGCTGTACTGTGGCCGGTTGGATTGTAGTGACAAAGCCTCTTCAGATGAGAGCCAGGTGGTGAAGGCAACTTGTAACAGACCGCCTGACAGTACCTCTATCAGTCCCCTGATAGAGCCTCCTCAGAGTGCGGAGTCTAAGTACCGGAGCACTTGTTCACCAGGGCCCCTGATGGTGGGGATGGACTTGGAGCGCTCCGGGACCAGGTCGCAGCTGCTAGGTATCTCTACCAGAGGTAGAGGAGTCTGCCAAGGGCTCCAGTGGGTTAAGAGTCTAATGTGAGGGAGCCCAGGGATCTGAGGGATGGATGGACGGACGAGCAAAGTCAGAGTCAAACAAGCCGGGTCGATAACTAACGGGTCGGTGAGGTACAAGATGATAGGCAAGGGATAGTCGGGTCACACGCAGGGTCAATACCAAAAAAACAGATCTATAAGGGAACATCCAGGAGCAGAGTCAGGCAAGCCAAGGGGTCAGGACAGGAGAGGGCAACAAGGTCAGACAATCCAGATCAGAGTACTCACAACACAGGCAACAGGATACAAAAGACCATTCGGCAACAAGCGTCTGTGCAGGGCTGGTTTAAGTAGCCCGCCCTGCACCTGACAGGCGCCGCCTAGGTCCCAGTGCCTGCCTAGTATTGTCAAGACGACGGGTGCGCCTGGGTCCTATTGCCCTGCTACCTGCACGTCTTGACAGACGCCTACGCATGTGTAGACCCATGCGTCGCGATGGTGCCTGACACAGCTGGTCCTTGACACACTGGAATGTAAAGGCAGATCACAGCAGGAAAGGCTAGACAGGAGATGTAATCAGGAACAGAAGCCAAGGTTAAATCACAGGATTCAAGCAGAGGAGTGAACAGGAACGTAGTCAGGGCAGGCCAGGGTCATATACAGGAATCAGCAGGAGTAGGTCCATGGAGCAAGTCAAGGTCAGTGCGAGGAGAGAAGCAAGGTCAAGGTCAAAGTAAGTCAAGAAGCAAGTCGGTAACAGGGAATCTAAAAGTGCTAAGCACACAGAAACACGGGTTACAAGGAGCTGAAGGCCAATCAGCAAAGCCTGAGTGCATCTGCCATCCTTATAAAGACCAGAAGGCACCAGGAACTGTCGTGACCAGTGTGTGCCAGTGCTCCATTCCATTACGTTTGCATGCAGTCCTGCATGAGCACAGCCATACTGGATATTGGCAAGTGTGCCAGGTCCAGCACATTCCTTCTCCGGGTTATCCCCTGACAGCAGGGGTACATGGGGGGGTCTAATAAACCCTTGATGTCACTGTAAAGAGCACCTGTCACTGTCCAAAAGCTCTCTCAAGAGGGTTTTGTTTGCCCATTTAGATGGAAAAAAAAAGCAAAAAGTACAAATAAATAAATAAATAACTTAATGAATTATTTATACCTGATATTAATGTGCCCTGTTCCTCTTGAATGCTAGGAATTGTATGTGGAATTGTTAGGTTGTGGAACAGACATTTTATGGCACGCTCCAGAGCCTTAATGGCCTTACAGGTCATGTGTGATGGCTTGACTGAGTTATTATTGTTTTACGATAGGGCAGAGGAAAGAGTTTTTCATGGTTTTGTGGAAACAGACATCCTGCCAAGACTAATTAGCTGTGTACAGCTCTGACCAGGTCTGGAAGCTGGCTTCTATTGTGTTCTAATTAACCACTTTAAGTTCGGACACTTTCCCCCACTTCCAGTCCAGACACTTTCACCCCTTCCAGTCCGGACACTTTCACCCCCTTCCAGTCCGGACACTTTCACCCCTTCCAGTCCGGACACTTTCACCCCCTTCCAGTCCGGACGCTTTCACCCCCTTCCAGTCTGGACACTTTCACCCCCTTCCAGTCCGGACACTTTCCCCCCCTTCCAGTCCGGACACTTTCACCCCCTTCCAGTCCGGACACTTTCCCCCCCATCCAGTCCGGACACTTTTACCTCCTTCCAGTCCGGACACTTTCCCCCCCTTCCAGTCCGGACACTTTCACCTCCTTCCAGTCCGGACGCTTTCACCCCCTTCCAGTCCGGACGCTTTCACCCCCTTCCAGTCCGGACTCTTTCACCCCCTTCCAGTCCGGACGCTTTCACCCCCTTCCAGTCCGGACGCTTTCACCCCCTTCCAGTCCGGACACTTTCACCCCCTTCCAGTCCGGACACTTTCCCCCCTTCCAGTCCGGACACTTTCCCCCCTTCCAGTCCGGACGCTTTCACCTCCTTCCAGTCCGGACGCTTTCCCCCCTTCCAGTCCGGACGCTTTCACCCCCTTCCAGTCCGGACGCTTTCACCCCCTTCCAGTCCGGACGCTTTCACCCCCTTCCAGTCTGGACGCTTTTACCCCCTTCCTGTTCGGACACTTTTACCCCCTTCCTGTCCGGACACTTTCACCCCCTTCCAGTCCGGACACTTTCACCCCCTTCCAGTCCGGACACTTTCACCCCCTTCCAGTCCGGACACTTTCCCCCCCTTCCAGTCCGGACACTTTCCCCCCCTTCCAGTCCGGACACTTTCACCTCCTTCCAGTCCGGACGCTTTCACCCCCTTCCAGTCCAGACGCTTTCCCCCCTTCCAGTCCGGACGCTTTCACCCCCTTCCAGTCCGAACGCTTTCACCCCCTTCCAGTCCGGACGCTTTCACCCCCTTCCAGTCCGGACACTTTCACCCCCTTCCTGTCCGGACACTTTTACCCCCTTCCTGTCCGGACACTTTCACCCCCTTCCAGTCCGGACACTTTCACCCCCTTCCAGTCCAGACACTTTTACCCCCTTCCAGTCCGGACACTTTCACCCCCTTCCAGTCCGGACACTTTCATCACCCCCTTCCAGTCCAGGCCAATTTTCAGCTTTCAGCACTATAACACTTTAAATGACAATTGTGTGGTCATGCGACACTGTACCCGTATAAATTTTTAGCATTTTTTTGAGACAAATAAAGGTTTATTTTGGTGGTATTTATTCAACACTGGGATTTTAATTTTTTTTTTTGCTATGTAAATGAAAAAGTCCAAAAATTTAGAAAAAAAGTGTTTTTCTTATAAAATTTTGCAAATAAATAGTATTTCATTATAAATCTTGGCCAAATAGACCCCTCCCAGCAACAATTGATCCTCTGAGGAACATAAGACCCCCTCCATGAACAACAATAGTTTCCCCCGGCAACAATGGATTCCCTGCAACAAAATGCCCCCCGCAACAATAAATCCACCCCAGCAATAATAGCACCCCTGCCAGTAACAATAGATCCCCCAGCAGCCAGCATCAATAGACCCTCCAGCACACTCCAGCACCCCTTGGTATTACATAAATCCAGTGCGGTCCCCCATGTTCCCACTGAAAAAAAAGGCCCTGGCCTCAGCCCTGTAACTGACACATTCTGCTGGAAGTGCTTGAGCTTTTGAAAAACAGCAGACTTACTGGCTGGATTATCAGAAGAAAATAAAAGAAAGAAAGCCTAGAAATGAAAAACAAATGCAGTCACCACATCTAAGCATTGGTAGGCTGCAAAAGAATTAAAAAAATGTTCTTTTGGATTTAACACCACTCTAAGCAGTTGCCCTATTTTTTTGGAAGCACCCCCAGCAGTGCTATAAGTCCCTGTAAATGTGCCTGTTGCTGGACAACTTGATCTGTTCGGAGAAGTAGAAACATAATATATCTAGAGCACGATCGGTACATAATAAAACTATGTCAGCAGAGGGGACTCGGGAAAACAAAAACTGCTGTGCTACTGTCAGACGCCGTCGTATTTCAGTTTTTGATTTTGCTGGACTTCCACGTTTAGATTTCTTCAATTAATTTCATTGTTATCTCCATGCTTTCATTTCAGAGGACACTTACACATTTAGCTACTTATGGTTTGAATAAAATCTGAAAAAGAAGGTCATACTAAAATAATATGAAGATTATAAAAAAAAATAATAATAATAAAAATAAATATAATAAAAATATTTTATTTAATAATAATATAATAATAATCATAAATATAATACAAATAATGTTAATAATAATACAAATGATATATTAATAATAATAAATATAATACAAATAATAATACTACTACTACTACTTTTTAATAATAATAATAATATTAATAATCATAAATATAATACAAATAATATTAATAATAAATATAATACAAATAATATTAATAATAAATATAATACAAATAATAATATTAATAAATATAATACTACAACTACTACTACTAATAAATATAATACAAATACTACTACTACTACTACTACTACTACTAAATATAATACAAATACTACTACTACTACTACTACTAAATATAATACAAATACTACTACTACTACTAATAATAATAATAATAATAATAATAAATATAATACAAATAATAATATTAATAAATATAATACAACAACTACTACTACTACTAATAAATATAATACAAATACTACTAAAACTACTACTAATAATATTAAATATAATACAAATAATAATAACAATACTACTACTAATAATAATAATACTAATAATATTAAATATAATACTAATAATAATAATAATAATAATAAATACTAAAATGTTTGTCTGGCAGTATATAATGTGTATATATTTGTAATGTGTATGTCGCTGTGTGTCTGAAATTCAGAGTAACAGCGAAATTAAGCTTTACATTTCTCCAGTATTATTGGATTGCTGCATTCATTTTATTGACATTTGATTTTTCATCACCTGGAACATCCTGCGCACCGTTGTCAGCCATGTAGTCACTTTCCTGATCATTATACACAAGAAGTCTGTGCATCGACCCCACATCACAAACACATTATTGTTATATAAGATTCCGTTTCCCGAGAGTCTAAATCTCTTCTGCTCCGAGCAAATCAGTATTTGTTCTAACATAGGAGCAAGACAATTACTGGATCTGTTTATATCTTTTATTAATATATATATATATTTGTTTGCAAACTGCAAAAAATTCACCCTTTGTGTCATTGTCAATAGAAAACACAAACTTCTTCTTGGGGTAATACAAATGCACTGTGTATAACAAAATATGTTTGAAGAAGTCTTTATTTTACTTACCACTTGCAGTCCGGACACTTTCCCCCCCTTCCAGTCCGGACACTTTCACCCCCTTCCAGTCCGGACACTTTCCCCCCCTTCCAGTCCGGACACTTTCCCCCCCTTCCAGTCCGGACACTTTCACCCCCTTCCTGTCCAGGCCAATTTTCAGCTTTCAGCGCTGTCACACTTTGAATGACAATTGCGCGGTCATGCAAGACTGTACCCATATGAATTTTTTAGCATTTTTTGAGACAGATAAAGCTTTATTTTGGTGGTATTTATTCACTGCTGGGATTTTTATTTTTTTGCTATATAAAAGAAAAAGTCCACATTTTTTGTTTTTAAAAAGTGTTTTTCTTACAAAATTTTGCAAATAAATAATATTTCTTTGAAAATCTTGGCCAAAACGTATTCAGCTATCTTTTTAGTAAAACAAAAAGAACCCAAACTAGTTTATAACCAAAAATTATAATTTTTAAAAAACAATGTTTACATTTTATTTTTTTTATATTATTATTTATGGGGTTTTTTTGGTTTTTTTTTAAACATACTGTCACCCGAGCAGTACAGTGTCACCATAGGGACACTGTACTACTTGTGGGGGGTGATGAAGATTTTTTTTCTTTTTTCTTTGCACTGATTGCTTTTACACCCATAAAGGCTGTAAAAGCAATCATTTCTCCTTTTCTCTGGCTGCATTCTTGCAGCCATTGAGAAATACTGTGAGAGCTGTGATTGGTCACAGCTTGTCACATGGTACAAGGCTGTTGTGAATAGCCTTGTACCATGTGACCTCTGTGATCATTCACAGATTTCACACGTAGTAAGCAATGATGTCAGGAAGTGACATCATTGCTTACTACAATTCATGTGATCATTGATTGGCCAATCAGTGATCACATGATTGAGACCTCATACAGAGGTCCCGTACAGCGATCGGTCCTCCGGACACAAAACTGGTCCCAGGATTGGAGATTTCATCTCTTCCAAATCACTTTGAAATCTTCAGGCTCCAGGTCCCAAAATGGAGTTTACAAACAAATGAGGAAAGTGAAAAGCCACTTTCCTCTGCATCAAACAAGTACTCTGGAGCCCCTCAGAGAACGGTGAACTCAATGATGATGAAGTGAAGCCGGCTGTCCTAGGATGGTTCAGGTGTACTGACAAATCTTTCTGTGGGAACGGTGAACTCAATGATGATGAAGTGAAGCCGGCTGTCCTAGGATGGTTCAGGTGTACTGACAAATCTTTCTGTGGGAACGGTGAACTCATTGATGATGAAGTGAAGATGGCCGTCCTAGGATGGTTCAGGAGTACTGACAAATCTCTCTGTGGGAACGGTGAACTCAATGATGATGAAGTGAAGATGGCTGTCCTAGGATGGTTCAGGTGTCCTGACAAATCTTTCTGTGGGAACGGTGAACTCAATGATGATGAAGTGAAGATGGCTGTCCTAGGATGGTTCAGGAGTACTGACAAATCTTTCTGTGGGAACGGTGAACTCAATGATAATGAAGTGAAGATGGCTGTCCTAGGATGTTTCAGGTGTCCTGACAAATCTCTCTGTGGGAACGGTGAACAATGATGATGAAGTGAAGATGGCTGTCCTAGGATGGTTCAGGTGTACTGACAAATCTCTCTGTGGGAACGGTGAACTCAATGATGATGAAGTGAAGATGGCCGTCCTAGGATGGTTCAGGTGTCCTGACAAATCTTTCTGTGGGAACGGTGAACAATCGATGATGAAGTGAAGATGGCTGTCCTAGGATGGTTCAGGTGTACTGACAAATCTTTCTGTGGGAACGGTGAACAATGATGAAGAAGTGAAGCCGGCTGTCCTAGGATGGTTCAGGTGTACTGACAAATCTCTCTGTGGGAACGGTGAACTCAATGATGATGAAGTGAAGATGGCTGTCCTTAGGATGGTTCAGGTGTACTGACAAATCTTTCTGTGGGAACGGTGAACTCATTGATGATGAAGTGAAGATGGCTGTCCTAGGATGGTTCAGGTGTACTGACAAATCTTTCTGTGGGTACGGTGAACTCAATGATGATGAAGTGAAGATGGCTGTCCTAGGATGGTTCAGGTGTACTGACAAATCTTTCTGTGGGAACGGTGAACTCGATGATGAAGTGAAGATGGTTGTCCTAGGATGGTTCAGGTGTACTGACAAATCTCTCTGTGGGAACGGTGAACTCAATGATGATGAAGTGAAGCCGGCCGTCCTAGGATGGTTCAGGTGTACTGACAAATCTTTCTGTGGGAACGGTGAACTCGATGATGAAGTGAAGATGGCTGTCCTAGGATGGTTCAGGTGTACTGACAAATCTTTCTGTGGGAACGGTGAACTCAATGATGATGAAGTGAAGCCGGCTGTCCTAGGATGGTTCAGGTGTACTGACAAATCTTTCTGTGGGAACGGTGAACTCATTGATGATGAAGTGAAGCCGGTCATCCTAGGATGGTTCAGACAAATCTTTCTATGTCAAAACTTTACAGGCATTAGGTAAATGCTGGAATAAGTGTATAAATGTAACAGGGGAGTATGTTGAAAAATAATGCAGTTCCACTTCTTGAAATTTGTTCTTTTATTATATAAACTCAGAAGTCCCGGTTTGACTTGGACGCCTCTCCTATTATTATTATTATTATTATAGTTTTTATTTATTTAGTTTATTTGACCTGAAGTTTGAAGACTTTATTTGACTTAAAACCTTTTTTTCTACATTTTTTCTTGATTGGTTAACCCCACTGGGGCACTACTGGGGCTCTGTGAGCCGTATTTTCCATGGGTTTTTTGCGGCCCTGGTGTGCCTCCCAAACTGCTGGGAAAAGGTCCCTCCTCCATTTTTTTCAATCGCAGCCTGCACAGAAACCACAGCTGCAGTGCAGTTCCCAGTGCAAGAAGCAGCTGCTGCAATTTCCAGTGTATGCGGGTGCCATTAGGATAAATGGCGCTCGCAGGCATCTCCTGAATGGCAGCCCATTTGTCTGTGCGGGTGGTTGCGCCTGCGGAAACAGGCGTGGTCCCACAGTGGCAATCACTCGCACAGGTGTGAACTTAGGGTAAATGGCCCTTTGTATTCCCTACCTTTGCCCATCTTCCAGCTGATGGACTTTAGCAGTTGATTTAGGGACACAGGCACTTCAGGGCAAATTACACCTAGTGGTCTTCGGCCTGCATTGAAAAACACGATTTACCACGGAAATTGTTTTACTCAATTATTCAAATATTTGTCATGCAGGGATCTACGGCACTCTATTGTCTAAATGCCTCTAAATACTCATATATTATGTATTCACTTCCTGTCCCTGGGTTGTTGGCTTTGAAACCCCATAAAACCCCAGAAAAAGGAAGTGGAGGGATAGAGAAAGTGTCAGCCACATGTCCTGTCCGTACTGCTAAACCCCAAGCCAGAAGGGACAATCATGTTGCTGAGTGTATAGTGTGGGCTCCTCTACTTCTCGATGCACCACCATAGGAAGCTGCTTTCTATGAAGGCCCTTCTGCCTGCTCAGCAAGGTTATGTGCGTCTATTGACACACACAGCTTGGCTCTGCAATGCCCCCCGCTCTCTGCTCACAGGAAATGACTGACAGCAGCAGGTCTGTCTGTCTTTGTGTTGGAGACCAAAAGGCAACACCTGAGGTCATGAGCAGATCCTCCAACTGTTGACCAACCAGCCTGGAATGGAGCTCACCAGAAGGAACTGTGCTGTGGCTGAAAGTCTCAGCCACATGTCCTGTCCGTGCTGCTAAACCCCAAGACTGAAGGGACAATCATGTTGCTGAGCGTATAGTTAAATCCTTGTGACAGATAGAGTAACTCTGCCCAGTCCTTGTTATTATTTTACAATTACAGTTCCAGATAGCTAGGTCTCTGCTACCGTATGTGTAGTAGCCATCTTCCAGTATATTGTTAGGTGAATCTGTTTATTGCAATAGAGTTTATACACAGCTCATGTTAGTCTAGTTAACCCTGTCCCTTCTGGTTTGGGATTCTATAGCTAGTTTTCCCTTAGGGCTCAATAACTAGCATAGGCTAGAATAAGGTTAGGCTTCCAGTGCCCACGTTGGGATCATTAGCTTAGAGGTTAAGTCGCATGTCAGAATAAAAACTATTGGGAGGAACTATAGAGCAGAGTAGGTAGGCTGACTCTGAGTTCCAGTGCCACAGCACAGTTCCTTCTGGTGAGCTCCATTCCAGGCTGGTTGGACAACAGTTGGAGGATCTCCCCCATGACCGCAGGTGTTGCCTTTAGGTCTCCAACACAAAGACAGACAGACCTGCTGCTGTCAGTCATATCCTGTGAGCAGAGAGCGGGGGGCGGGGAAGAGCCACGCATGTGTGTCAATAGACGCACATAACCACGCTCGGGAGTGAGCAGGCA